GAACTTCGTATTTGCCAGGTCTCCAAGCCTTGGTACCTAGTTATGGTCACCGAAACATGGCTGAACACGGAGATCCCCGATGCTGAGATTGCTCTACCCGGCATGACTTCCATACGAAACGATCGACCTAGCAGAGGAGGCGGAGCGTTTCTGTATTACCGACCCGACATGCACGTTGATATCACTGGAGACCCAGCAACACAAATCATCGATTCTCTTTGATGTCATATGCACCTAACCTTCCCGATGTCGCTTGGATGGCGTTTGTCACCCAATTCATCGAACCAGTCATCATCATCAACAGCAGTACATCAGTAATTTGGACAGATGCTTCGCTGCCGTACAACCATGAGGACCTACGAAATAAAGAATAAGGGGGAGAGAAGGGGGACTTATCTGTAAACCTTAATGTTTTAAGCAAACATTCAGGGTCAAAGCGCCTACACCTTGTGAAGAAAACATACCGTCACAAACAGCTGGCTATCGCGCCAAGATAAGGCGACATCAGCGAGACAGTTCCCTTGCGGCTTTCACTGTGACGCGTCATAATCAGCCATAATCCCGCAGATAACTCAGCACCAAACACACTTTAAACAGGCAAACCGACTAGGAGACAGCAGCAGACGCGCCTCTGGTGTCTACTGCGAGCCATGTCCTGTAAAGTCTAGAGGCAAGCACAAGGCGAGTCACGTGGACTCCAACCCGGAAGGCGAGACGGACCAACTGCACCCAGTTTGGTCGCTAGTGACTTCATTTCATGCAGCCAAGTCAACTTCTGTCCACCTCGGGCCTTGCACCACCCTACACCTGGTAGACTAAACAAGGACCTCCTAGGTAAGCGGTGACCAGGCATGAGTAACACGTGCCCGAGCCAACGCAATTTATACAGTGCTATCTGTTGTTCTAGGGAGCTACCATGATTATCGCTACCTAGTACTCGCCTACGCACGTCATCGTTGCGAACACGCTGGCGACATCCGACACCAGCAATGCTTCGCAGACAACGATGATCAAAGACTTGAAGGCGCTTTAGATCTCCAGACCGAAGGGGCCAAGTCTCACTACCATAGAGCAGAACGGCCCTCACTGTGGACTTGTATACACGGCCTTTCAGACGGAGGGAAATTCCCTTCTGTCCCCAGCGATGCCGCGGGTTCAAGAAGGCAGCTCTAACATTTGCAATGCGTGAGCTGACGTCAGTTTCTATGCACCCATCGTTGCTGATGCAACTGCCGAGATAAGTGAATTGATCAACCACCTCGAATTCCTCGTTAGCAAGGCGGTCACATATTGGCTGGTGGTCGTTATGCAGCAACACTTTGCACTTTGAAGGTGCGAAGTGCATGCCAAATAATGGGACCGCTCTAGATTCAATGTTGATTGTGCCGCCGCAACGTCATCGAAAAGCAAGACAATATCATCCGCATAATCAAATCAACTAATCTTTCACCAGGCAGCACTTCAACGTCTACATCGTGAGATTCCGCAAGGAAACACTCCATGATAGAATCCACGATGAAATTGAACAGAAATGAGGAAACCTGACGAACGCCACTTGTAGTCGGAAAACTATCCGATAGGTCACTGTAAACCCTGACGCGGCCTGTAGTGTTCGAGTATAGAGCACGAAGGATGTTCACATATATCGTGAAAAGACCTTTCCGCTCAAGTATTTCGAACCGAATCGATCGGTCGACTGAATCGAACGCACTCTTGAAATCGAGGAACACAGCTATTGGCGGTCTGCGGTATGCGTGGCGCTGCTCTAGCACCTGCCGCAAAGTGAATATCTGGTCTATACAGCCCCGTCCTGGGCGGAAGCCGGCCTGCTCTTCCCTAATCCGAGATTCCCGTTCCACAGTGAGGCGACGAATGAGAATCGAGGCCAGTAATTCTGTCGCAACTGCCGTTAGACTAATGCACCTGTGGGTAGAACAGTCTGTGCGACTAGTCTTCTTGCATATTGCCACTATAGTCGAATCGCTCCAATTAGCCGGGACATTTCCTGCCAGATAGGGAGGTCAGTGCTTTGCAGAGGACCTCACCTCCATCCTTAAATAGTGCAGGTAGGAGGGAATCCGGGTCAGCGGCATGAAAGCGGTTGAAGGATGTGATCTCCTTACGGTCTTCGGCCTCCGACGGAGACTCTAATCATGGTCATGAGTATACATGTCAGCTAGAGGTGGTGAAACACCTCCGCTATTGTGTCGCAAACGGAGGCTCTAAACTAACCGTCCATGGCTCGTCCTGCATCACCTGAGTAGGAAGGGGTCCGGTAGCAGGGGGCCAGCTGAACTGATCTTGAAAGTGTTCCGCCCAACGAGCTATACGGCGTTTCTTATTGTGTATTAGTGCACCCGTGCCGTCTCTGATTGTCTCACTGACGCCTGGTTTTCGGAACAATTGGTGCGGATTAGCTAAAAGAGCTTGCGGTAATTGCCTACTGCTCCTGCCTCCTCCATTTCTTGAGCCCGACTTGTCATCCAGGTTTCCTTGTCTGCACGTGGGCTCCGCTTTACTTCACGTCTAATAGCCCGTGTGGTCACATTGTGTTCAGAGCCAGCCGGGAGGTTTCTTCTGCATTCCAACAGGTTCACCGACCTCGGATATCCAGTGACTGGTGCGGTGACGATTGATAGTGCCACAAGTAGACGCTCCTGCGTCGTGCATGGCGGTCAAGATCCTATTCTACTGAAGCTCAATGTCATTAGGACAAGACAGTGAAAGTTCGGTACGCAGTGCGTCTTGATAGGCCTGCCTGACCGAGGGCTGGGACAATTTCTCAGTTGCCAATAGGAGGCGACGCTTGGTGCGCCTCCCGGTATAGTTCATCGAGAAACGACAGCGTACCAAGGCATGATCAGAGTCGACACATCACTGTATCATTCCTCCCGGTATGACAAGAACAGGACTTTATTTTTTCTTTCCTGTTATACATATGCCAGAATGACAGCTATATATAGCACCTGCATCTGGCGTTACGTCGCTGCAATGCAATTTACGGTGCATTGTACAGTACGCCTGCAGCCACGAATAGAACTCCTTCAAGTGGTCATGCCTCGTGTTATCACTAAGCACATAATTGTTTTCATTACTGTTCATTTTATTTTACTCTTCTTTTACCGTTGGTTATGACATGGCCTATCTCCTGAAATGACAGTGAAGCTTCTAAGATGGTCAGCGTATCCACGCAAGGCAAACTGCCTACAAACCCATTAGCGTAAAATGTGCTATACTCAGAAGAGTCAAATGGGCCGAATGGCCGAAGAGGCCACCATAATTGCAAAATGGACGAAAAAAATGTTACACTGGTGACGACCTGTACGAATTTAGGCCATACCGGAATGCTGCTTGATTGGGCTGTGCCAATACTAATCGAATATAAAAATTATCGGAGAAATGTTTAAAAGCGGTGATGACGTGCATAATTTTAACCCACACCGGAACAGCTCCAGATGGGAGTGGAAGTGCGGGTGAAACCCTAAGAAGACCCAACATGGAAGCAGATCCTCAGGAAATGGTTCAACGAATGGTTGTGTTACTTCAATTGGGCCCTTGACTCTCTTTAAAATCTGCTACACCCCTTACACTATTTTAATGCATATGTTCTCTCCAGTGGTTGTGAAATCCTGATCACGCCGTAAAGGGCATGTCTCGTAAAACCGAGGACATACATTAGTATTATAAAGTGCGCAAGTGGAGTCATGCCAGCCTTAGGGAGGACCGAGGGTTCTAAATAAGATCGGATGAACTGACGTTGTCCGCTTGGTTGAACAAGGACTTGTTGACTGGACCAGAGCAATGCTCTGCGATTGCGTGAGTTGAAACTAGACGACAAAGGCTTATGAAAGCAACATGAGGGAGGGAAAAGAATTAGTGGTTGCAACGGGACGATAAGGATGAAAAAGTGAAAGAAAGGAGATAAGTAGACGAGAAGGCGTATGCAGTAGCGTTATCACCCCCTCCACTCCACCCGAGGCAGCAGATAGGGCACAGTTGACTATTCTACGCGACGGCCAGAGCATTAAGGAATTGTTTGAAGGGAAATTCATTGTGTCGCGTGAGCAGGATACTGTCAGATTGCCTAGGCTTAGACAGAAGAATTAGGGTTAAAAGACTTGACCGCAAGGCAGCGGGGTGTTGGCAATGGGTTACAGTGAGTCCGTTTTATGGAGTCCAGAGCCACCTTCATTCCAACCCCAAACTCGGGGGACCGGTAGAGTGAGTTTATCAGGTGCAAAAGCACCACCCAGCATGGACCAATGGATCGCTGACGTACGCAAATCATCGCAGTACGTTAAGGTCCAGTGTCATCGCGATGGTCTGCAGGATAAAGTTAACTAAGATGCACGGTAGTGAGATCGATAAAGAATCTAAATTTCCTGCATACGGATACGTCGTTGGCGAGATTCGGGTGCACTGATCCCCAATGTTTATAGCACTTAGGCTGCACAGGCATCAGCAGTACGCCGGTACGCTTCGCTGCCGTGCAACCCCAATCAGTCGCGCGCGCGCTAAGGATATTGCGAGTATCGCCTGGTCCCCTAAGCAGGCTCGAACCAACGCCCCCGGATTACAAGGCAGACTTGTGATCTTCGAGGACACAAATTGGGTCAATACCTTAGTTGCATAGCAGTGATGCACCTAAACCAATTACTGAGGTAAGAATGCTGACCATGAGCACATGAAGCATTGCAAGGGCCTGGGAGTGTGCTGTAAATCGACTCTGGTACCAATCACTAGTGATGATTCGAGCAGGCAATAAGCAAGACGACGCTGGCTTTTGCGAAGATAATACAAGCATGTAATCAGAGGGACCGGTTGATATTATAAATACGGTAAGCCGTAACAACAAAACGATCATTTCAAGAATGCATGGACTTCCTCAAGCGATCAGTTTGAGCATCACTATACTTGGACGGAGGGGTTGATGATGAACGACAGAACCCAGCAGCTGAGAGGAAAAGACGAAGTCAGTAAGTCCATTATATTATGAAAATTCAAAAAGCAGTGACTGGCCTTCGTGTAGTGAACCGAGGATGGTGCAGGGGACGTGACACGCGATGAGGAAGAGGGAACTTCAGATTGTAGTCGTGGAACTGCGTAACATAAGGACGCTTGCACTTGGATGCAGGAAGGGTCTTCACATCAATGACTTGAATTGACTCCGCTCGAGCACTGTGCCGAGCGCCCATTTCACGGTACATTTGCGTGACAGCTCCTTCTTCAGTTAAATCACGGAACTCCTTGTACATGTTGTGAGTTCCCGACCGGCTGTTGTAGCGCAACCATATGCCATAATTTTTAACCATTAAAGGCTTTCGTGGATGAATCTGGAACGAAAGAAAATTGACTAGTTGAAATTATACCACTTAAGTGAACAAACCGAGTTAAGAAGAATTAAGAGAATTGTCGCGAAGTACATCAATGTGAAGTCGCATCACTTTTTGCACAGTATTTAGCTCAAAGGACAAAATCCTTGAGCCGGTAAACTGGGCACTGAATCAATAAGTAAACATGAGTGAAGTTAACAGTAGAGACATGAAACAATTCAGTATGGGATCATCTATTCATTCATTAGCAAACGCCACCGAGAACAAAGCGATATGGAAGCCTCCGCATTTTCAGTAGTACCGAAGTCATTGTAAACAAGATATACGGCTTCAGGCTGTATCAGTAGAAGTGCAGTAATTGTCCACATAGAATGAACAACCGAATGTGTTCTTAGACCGAGACCCCACGGGAAGAAATAAGCCACGATCAAAGCCAAAGCATCATTCAGTTTCCGTTTACGCACCCGCAGACTGCAACACGAAGGCCGTCCAGGATGAATGCCGAATGACCAGGAACACGAGCAACGCCATCCGTGTGTGATGAGATGAAGGCTTAAATAAAACGCCAATCAGTCAGAAAGTCAATTTGAAGAGGGTTTAGGGATGGATGGGTTGTACGGATGACCAGTTGTTTCAAATCTTAGCCGACCACAACCGCTGGTAACAGCTGAAGACTATACCACTTAAGTGAACAAACCTTATCGGGATGAATCAATTGTCGCGATGTACAGCAATGTGAAGTCGCATCACTTTTTGCGCAGTATTTAGCTCAAAGGACAAAATCCTTGAGCCGGTAAACTGGGCACTGAATTAATAAGTGAACATGGGTAAATTTAATAATTGAGATATGAAACAAGCAGCATCGCACTGAGGATGATAACCACACATTTTAACTCTTAAACGAATTTCCAGAAAACATTCATACTGAGCTACACTGCGGGTACCGAGAAAACGGCTTATTTAGACCAATTGCATCACTACAAGCAATAGTTAGCCGGTGGCCGATAAATGCCTTGTAGCGCAAATGTAACCGGTTCTAACCTGCTTAAGTGCGGACAACATCGCAGTATCCATAGTCCGCACACCGCTGCTAATAGTCGCGTGGCAGAGTCGGTGTGGTAGAGGGACATACTGCTGATGCCTCTCGGTAGATGGTGCACAGCAGTACGAGATATCTGGGTGAGCTACAGAATTTGACTCGATTTCGATCAACACGTGACCGACGGTAACCAATTTCTAGTTTGCTCATTGGCTGCGATTGCAATAATACACGAGGCAAGGGTATTAGTTCAGTTCAGTTCGGAGCACCGAAGTGCGGTGGATCCAGTTGCTATGACTCACATCGCAATAATAATAATAACACCATTAGGACAGTGTGAATGGGTGCAAATAGAATGTAGAGAAAAGGAAAGCAAAAAGGACGTTAGACGAACCAGAATGGAACGAAAATTAACAACCAGATGAAAGAAGCCGAGTGCAAGAACGCCACTGGCTTCGTGACTGTGCCATGTCTGACAGGGTCACCAACCAACGGTATTTGTCTGAATCGCAGTCCGAAGTAAAGTAACCGAGTTGGGATGGAAACCGCACCTGTGGGATGCAAATCGTATTTGAGGCTGCACGTAATCCCAACTCAAAGTGGACGGGATTCCGGAACGAAGATATGCCCAATAGTAGTGTGCCGAGATATTTGTTTCGAAGTGTCGGTCAAATACAGGAAAGATTGAAAACCATTCCAAGAAATAAAATGCAAACGTCTAGGAAAGGATTTGATGAGTGAAACAACAGCGGAGGGTAATGGATAACTGATCTAACTTGAAGTGCAGTTTGAATGCCGCACTGAAGAGTATATGTATCGGCCAATTCAGCCCACCCCATATAGATCGGTGCAACGACAACCGACGGGATCAGATGCGACCTATTGGTGATAAAGGGGAACAGGATGTATGGTGCTAAACGCCTTCCTTTATCGTTTCTTAACTCGGTGATGACTAGTTGGTTCTTGCCCAGATCCCCCTCCGATGACACAGGGTGTTTTTCAAGTTAAGTCAAAGTAGGCTTTATGCATCCGGGTAGGTGCATTTTCGGCATGCTACATTATAATATAACGTGTCAGCTGTACGCCGTAACGGCGCTTGGCTACCATGTGACGACACCAGTCGCACCGATAGTTTTCGATTGTCGCTCCCATTATCGTGTCATGTTATCTCTACCATTATCAATCTACTCACGTGCATCGAATCTGGTGGCCTAAGGAATCTCACGAAAACCGAATTGTGTGTGGTGGAGGATGCACTGACCACATTTCAATGTTTCGTCAGGTGTTTGAACGACAAACACTATGGTCACCTTCCTTTTGTCTCCCTTGACCACATCTGATTGAAAAACGCGTGGAGAACTAGTCCTTACACGCTATACCTTGTGAACCGGAGGGTCGCATATTTGTTTAGAGGAGCTGATCACCTGGGTTAACGAGCGAGTTCGCAACTCTACTCTGGCTCTTTCCTCCTCGTCAAACGTGCGATCCGTGGCTATGAGCGAATGTAATCTGTCTTCCTAAATTCGTTTAGTGAGCGATTGTCAAACTAAAAGCACCCGAGATCTTTAGGCCTAGCCAAATCCGTACGCAAGTGCCACCGGATAGACCGATGTACAGCTCTGAGCCTTTGGCATTTATTTTGAAGCTCCATAGCATAAAGCATGGTTATAAGACCGAGTCAAGTCACACCAACAGCGAAAAAAAAAACAATCGGTCCAACTATGTAGCGCTGTCACTTCTGATGATCGCATCACCGATTTATCGTACAACTTAGTATGACTCCAGTGCCGTTGCAAAGCAGTGCAGTATGCAACCGATAGGTAAGGAGGGAGTTGTAGAGTGGTTAGTATGTATGTGTGCACTAAGTAGATAGTTGCTTCACGATAAAGCCAGTGGTGTCTGACCGCCGATGCCGGTGATGTGGGCTGATTGAATGAGCATTGCCGAATTTCGTCATTTGGTAGTAGGCAACAAGCCTTACAGTGTCAAATCGGAGTGTCTGCTGAGCAGGAACCGCCTTCGCCAGGTGGATAATGCCGTTCACGCGCCTGCCAACCGGTTGCTTCGGCAAGCACTACTCACCAATGCTGGGCTTAGTTAAGGGAGACCCAGATGTGTCCAATCGATGATAGTACAAAATGGATCCAAATATCATAACGAGGCGACTACCGTGTCTATTGCTAAAGTTCGTATCTCTTCGAAACCATAGTAAATTATGGGGAAAGCGGGATATGACACAACAGGTCAAGATAACGGTTCGAAACGTTGCTATGGAACAAGTGTTGTAACTTGGATCAAACCTGGTCACTGCGTGCGAAGAACGGTAAAAGACCGTGTTTTACTATAGGTTCTCGCGAAGGTTCGCTCCTATCTGCTCGCATCACTCATTGGAAGCCAATTGGCAACTGCTGCTCATAAGGTCATGCTGTTCCGTTTCCTTTACGGCGTTCAACGCTCACACTCTAAAACAAATAGATCAACAGGTTGCGCTTGCACGTAGGTTGGACATTGTGGGTACTGACGTGTGCTGTGTGTCCGAAACTGAGATCAGTGGCGGAAATTGGATGTTGCTCGCCCGAAAACACTGCCCACCACGATGCGTTTCAATCTCATAAGGTGGAGATAGCAGACATCGAACCCGTGACCATTGGCATAGCGGCGGAAACCTCTACCCCTTTAGCTACCGGGTCACGACGGGCATCAGCATCATTATTCAAGTTAGCCAGAGGTAGAGAACACCTCCGCTATGGTGCCGCAACACATAAAGAAACATGCACGCCGGCCAGGTCACGAGTAATGGATGGACATCGTTCCGGAGAGCTAACAGTCGGCTATTGTGTCGCACAAAGCTACATTATGCGTGGGGAGTTCTGGGCTGGTCAGCTGGTTCTTCTTCAAATATCACAAGAGCTCGTACGACGCTGTGTCAAAGTCCATGTGACCGGCTATAGGGTCATCGACCACTCATTTCGGTAACCAGAAGTGAGTACCTAACGCAGGGCGGAAAAACAGACTTGTTAGCCAACAGATTCTCTGTGGACTGCTACTGAACACAAAGAAGGCGAATGCGCTACCCGGATGGCAACGGTCTTCGTTAGTGGCCCCGCTGCCCTGCGGGGCAGGTCTTCATGACCAAAGGCTCGGGGTGGGGTGCCTTAAGTCAAGCCTCTTTCTCGGTCTGGGCAACCGGGAATATCTCTGCTTACACAACACATTAAATTGTTAAACCTACCAAACCTTTCCACTG